CTGAAGCCCAGGAATTGATTTTGATTTGGAATTGAAACACAGTCAGGAAAGTATGTACAATGTCATTAATAATATATGCGGCTACTTGCCAAAAATGATATGAGATAACACTCGAATATCTAACGAATATTCGAATGCTCGAATACTCGAATACTCGAATATTCGAATATTTGTTAGATATTCGAGTATTCGAATAATTTTACTATTCGAATAAACCACTAAACGAATATTTGAATATCAGATTTTTAAAAATTCCGAGCCCTAATGGCAATAGCATGACTGCTTAGGCGGCAATAATCTCTGATACTAGTATTCGCCCGTACCCCACTAACGGCGAAATTTGGTCCACAAGTCCAGATTTGCAGATTTATTTTATACGAAATTCGCATCGAGTCGTATCTGGCTCGTGCTTAACCATTACCGTACTGATATTTCTTCGAATTTGGCTCGCCACGTATCAGATATGACAGATATTTCGCTCGTGTATGGGGCGCTATTAAGTCAGAGAGCGGCAACAACTCAATACAGTGTTACCCAGGCCTAGGCCGCAGTGCTGAAAAATGGGCACAAGGCGTAGGCGCTTGGGCCTTGTTCTGAACGCAGTGTTGGCTCATTTCGCGGCGATTGTCGTTTGCTTTTGCCCATTCATGGGCTCGTGCCAGATCGCTTTAGCAATGCCGAAGCTCAGAAAAATATACAGGGCGCGCCCCCAAAAGGTTACACGTACTAGAAAATAAAGGCCTGTTATCAGATATGGCTGAACATTGTTATCAACAAGAGTGTTTCGTGTGCGAGACACTAAACACTGCTCCGCCCTAAGCGGCCTGTAACAAGGATGATGCACAACTGTACGTATACAGGGTGGCTCACGGTTGATGGCACGTTGCCGCCTGTACCAAAAAGTAGCATCAACTTATCTATTTCAAATGGGTGGCCTCATAGATTGAAAAACCGATCCGAACTGTTCGCTGCGTTGGTGAAAACATTTTCAATCCAAAGCCGCGTTTTTCAGATGCGTCTTACTTGCCCCTGCCTTAAACCGTCAGCCACCGGTAGTGAGTGCGATGCCTGGATGGCAACTCTGTTCACTTCGGTTGTATGCGCAAGTACCTACGTTAAGTTGGATGGCTTACCAATCGTAAGCTCGACTGGCGGTGGTAAGCGGTTGCTGAGCCGCCAGCTGAGTGCTGGCCGTTGGGTAGTTGCATCTGGCCGCTGCGTTGCCCGCATTGGCGACCTGCGCGCAGCAGTAGCTGGGTAAATTAGGGAATTGACCAATTAAGTGCCTCCCACCTGATTGCGTGCTATTCGTTGCTGAGCGCTGCCGGTGCCTTGAAAGGGGTTGTACCCCGCCCCACCAGGAATATCCAAAGTCCCACCCTGGCCCGTCTGATAGGTGGCCCCATAGCCGTCCTGGGCGAGCTCGTGCAGTTTATTGCTGGACAGCGCTCTCGGGATGGGATTGCTGGGCACTCCATGGGGCGCCAGATGCAAGGTCTCCTCAGCCACCTGCGCAAACCCCGCTCATTCATCTGGCCTACATTTGCGCCCACTTACCTGTCGGGGGTCTTCGGTTTGCGGCAGGTCGGACACGAAGCCCTGGTCCACCCGGTAGAAGTTGATGAAGACGAATGCGGCCAGCACCAGTATACAGATGAGGCCGTAGCCCCTGAAGGTGGAGGTGGAGCCGAAGGAGGCGACAAACATTCCGCCGATCACTGCTCCACAACCCCGACCTGCAACCGGACACTCAGCATTTAAGAGCCTGGAGTCGGAAGCGCCGCAACAAACTTTACCCAAGCCATGATGGATGCCCTGCAGAACGCCCTGAGCCGAGGAGCGCAGCTCAGGCGGAGTGTTGTGCGAGATGTAGGAGCAGCAAGCTGCCCAAACAGCCGCATGTGTAATTCCCTGGAAAATTCATATATTTTTAATTTGCGATAAATAGGACACATTTTAGACGGTCAACAAACCAACGATTCACTTTGAGGGACTAGTTGGCGACTAGTTTTCGAGTGTTAAAAAAAACTTTTTTCACAAAAAACTCTTTCTTGTGAAACAAATTAATTTCATTATAAATTGAAAGATTCGTTACATTTTCGTGTATTTTTATTTGGATTAGCTTACAGCCGATAAACCTCAATTATTGTAAACTAAATAAAAGTAAAAAAAATAAATAAATTTTAAAGTTAACTCGTCAGCCATCCCTATTTTAACTTCAACTTGCACTTGAAGCTTTCACAGAAAAACGTCAACAAAAGGGCACAAAAAATTATAAAAAAATTCATAGAAAATCACTCAGACACCCTACGAACGAACACATATATGGAAAAAGTGCAGAGATCAAAAAATTCTTAAATTGAACAACAAATGCAAAAATGTGTTCGGTTGAAGTCAGTGGCGCACCACAAAAAAGTTAGGGGTGGGGGGGTAAAAGGGGGTATGCCTCCAGCAAAAAAAAAACACCCAGTAGATTTTCGCAACCAGTCGCCTTATCTCCGTAGGTAATCATATATAATATCTCGTAAACTGTAGGAGTTAAAGAGAAAATAACAACATTTTTTTGAAACTTTAACACCCTGTATCTTGTTAACCATGGGCCTGAAGAAAAACTTAAATGAAAACTCGATTTGTTTTGAGGTCCTCTACACGCCCCTGCTCTGTGTCCATAAGGTTGTGAATCACCCTGTATAATCAGAATCTGCTGCAGACACACGTAATGGTACGGGTCCACTGGATACTTTTGTATCGCCACAAGTCGATTGTTGCGCTACATTTGTTGCCGTGCTATATTCACTAGACGGCGAGTTGCATGCTACTTTTGGAAAATCACCCAGGAACCCTACATGAACTTATATTTGTACAAATAACTCGAAAACGACGACAGATACTAAAAAACTGCAAATATTCCGCAATTAATTTCAATGTTTCATCCCTTAACCACTTCTCCATTGTAAAATGTGTACTGCAACAAATCCTGAGAAACAAGCCACGTTTGTTTCGTACGAAACACAAGCGCAACAGGAAAACATCTGTGTCCACTTAAATACTCTCGGCATCAAGTGGTGTATAGCCGCAACAGGAATTTAGTTGCGATACACCATTAATTTGCCCTTTAATTTAATGTTTAATTAAATTTAATTTATCAGGAAACGCGTGGATACAATGTTGTGTATACAAAAGTAGCGTGCAACTAGCCGTGTAGGGAACACAGCACGGCAACAAATGTAGCGCAACAATCGAGTTGTTGCGATACAAAAGTATCCAGTGGACCCATAGCTTAAAGAGAAAAGTGTTTAACCAGTGTGTGTTTCCTGTGCTGACGCACGGAGCAACAACTTTGACACTAACAAAGAAAACCATACATAAAATTCGCGTTGCACAGAGAGCGATGCTGGCAAGGGCGGATCCAGCTTTAAAGTCAGGGGGGG